CTAAAAAAAGGGGGTCCCGTCCGTCGGTTGGGTAAATCCAATCAAAGGTGTTCAGTCCGAGGCGGGATCCCGCCAAGACCGCCGTAAAGTCGCTCGGAATGTCATATTCGTGACAGCCCGCGCGGCAGAGGTTGTTGCTCCAGAGCTCCTGAGGATTAGCGTCCCAGGGTGGTTCCACTTGACCAAACAGGAGGACAGTCCTCGTCAGCTTCCATTCAAACAGTTTTCGCTTCGGCGCCAGGGAGTAACGCCCGAAACAAGTCCTTCACGCGGAGCCAGCTCGTGGTGACCCCGAGGGAGTCGCTCCGGTCGCTGTGCGATTCGACGGAATTCAGCGCATCGAGAATGATTGAGAAGAGCTCGTCCTCTGTGAGAGCACCGCCACCCGCACCGGCGGCAGTGGGGACGGCGGCCGCGACGTCGACGGCGGCTTCTGCGGCAGCGGCCGCAGCGAGATCGTGGGCCACATCCCGCTTCTCCCTGCAGAAGCGCGCGCTGTCAAAGCAGGGCGATCGGGAGCGATCAGGAGAGGCAGCGGCGTTGGCGGCGGTGCGGTTGTGGCCGTGGCTGCCGTCGTGATTGTCTTGGGCGGGGAGCCCAGAGAGGACGCAAGAGCCGAGGGGCGTGTCGCCCATGGAGGTGCGGGCTGGGATCGCCTGGCGTGTACTTTTCTGGCCGTCGTCTGTGCCACGCGACTCGAAGTGTCTGTCCTTCCATGGCACAGAGTAATGGCAGTTCACTGTGGGCCACGGGGGGGGTTTTTTGCCTCTCCAACAATTAATGGGTTGGGGCATTTGCTGTTTGTGTCTCTAATTAACTGACAAAGACGAGGTGACATGATCGTGCCACTGTTGCAGAAAATGCATTTTTGGGGTGTGAGCAGAAATTGCATTTTGGGGTGTGAGCCATCAGACAGACGAAAGGTATGCTGGCGCGAACCTGTCTGTCTGTCTCTCTCGCACTCTCTCTCACTCTCTCTCTCTCTCTCTCTCTCTCTCTCTCCCTCTCTCTCTCTCTCTCCCTCTCTCCCTCTCTCTCCGGGGTAGCTCAGGGTGGCCCTGATGGCGACGGCGGGGCTCGATGGTGGAAAATGCATTTTTGGAGTGCGGGGGTTGGTGGATTTTTTCAAGTTGTATCAGGAAATGCACTTGTGGGGTGCCACCTACTACTTGTGACCAAACCTCAAGTCCCAAACCCGAAATTTTCAGGTCCTGACACCTATGAGGGGAGGACCCTCGGATGACGAGGCGCAAGGGACCCAACCCCACGCACAATGGTGGCTGATGAGCGATCCGCATGTTGATTTGGTCGAATGTGTGCAGGACTGCGTTGGTATCGACAGCTGTGATGTCCCTGCTGACATGTTGAGCTCAAGTGGCACCAGCTTGATTTGATCATTGTTGCTGTGCATTAGTGAAGCGGTGCGCACTGACAGCGGTGATAGGAGTGGGGGTGGGCGCAAGAGCGGAGTGTGCTGTGGGGTTCCAGGACCGCACCTGTGCACGCTAGCAGGCTTCCCTCCTACTCCTCCTTTCGTGACAGCGGCGGTGACTCCGCATTCCGGGCAAGATGTGGGCAAAGGAGGATTTGGACTATCTTGACTGGTGGAGGGGACGCAATGCAGGCAACTGATGCTAATTTCATTGTTCGAAGAATAGGTTTACCGCAGCGATGGAAGGGAATGGCCATAGCGATACACTCGTCGTCGGAAAAAAACCAGTAGCAAACTAACTGGGAAGCAATAGGCACTGTAATGTAGAATGTTGAATGACAAGCTGAGGAAAGGATAGTTCACTGAATGTAATGGCCACTACTATCGGCTTTGGCGGCTCCTACTGCGTGCTCACTCCGGCAGGCGCGAACTCTGACGTGGCTCGGCCACCAATCACGCTCGTGCTCCGGCTTCCACCACCGCCGCCTGCGCCTGTCTTGTCCATCACGAACAAAATAGGGCGACAAAGATGCCACGCCAACTGCTGATACTGGGCTGCCGACTCCGACCGACCCCTGCAGCGCCGCCCACACTGGGCCACCCAAATCAACGATGCTGCCAGTGGTTGCCCGCTGGCTGCTGGCGACCGCCTCTGCCGTTGGATGAGGATGATGAAGAATTACGTCGACCTGCGCTGCAGCTGCATTTATGCAAATGGTGCTGTCGCAGCACGTGGGGGCAGCGGTCAGTGTGTGCCAGCCATCACAGGCAGTGGTGGAGTGTGAAGCGACAACAACGCGTTGGAGTAGCGGCCTCCTCTGTCCACCGCGCTGTCCTCGGAGATCACCTGCTGTAACATTGCAGACTCTTGTGTAGCAATCCGGCTGGGCACCAGCGGCCGGTCGAACAGCGTCCAGACAGAGAATAATTTTCCAGATCTCGATTTGCCCCTTTGGAACCACTCAACGTGATGAATGTCCGTGTGTTCTGTTTGCAGCGAGATCAAGCTGACCTGAGAGCTCTATTGAAATTAGAGAGTAACGAATCAACAGAAAGAGATGGCACTGCCAGTTTGTTCATTAACGGTTGAATTTGTGCGCTCTCTCATGTGCCGGCTATTGCTGGCACCCTGTCTTGCCTGCTATCTGGCTGTGGCAATGGTAGAGTGGCTGCCTATGTCGCCAAGGGGTTCCTTGTCAACCAGAATGGAGTGAGCAGAAGAAATTTTCGTTCCACTGCTTGGAGCAGCAGCTGCTGCATGCTTGGCAGCCTGCAGAGCGCAAGCCACCGCTGCCTTCCCCAACTGGCCAGGTGTCCACTTTCCTCACACAGGACGTTTCATTCCCTGGTACGTATACAGCAATCACAATAATGTTGCATGTGGGAATGCTTCTGTCCTGTATTAGAATGTGATCTCACCGGCATCACTTGCAGATTGAACCAGAACAATCGAAGCAGAAGTACTCTGTTGCGCTACTTCGATTCAGTCTGGTAGATTTTGGCAGCTCCGATCGCATTGGCTTGGTTGGGCAGCATCTGATGAACACTCACATGGATTGACAATTAGGTGAGGATTGAAATAATGGATCATTCACGCAGAAGCATCACAACTGGTCCTCGTACTAGTAGTTTGCATGGAGAAAGCCAGTCATTGTCGCCATGGACGTTCAAAGTCGGTAGGGGTTCCCATTGCTTCCTTCCATCCTCAGGCTCACCGATTTCTGCTCATCTTCTCCACCTCTCGCCTTACCAGCACAGGCACGGACTTTGCCGATCTGATTCACCAAGAGGCCTCTCTCCGCAGCAACACATGTGTGGCTCCGTACTCTGCAAACGCTGAAGGAGGAAATTATGCAGGAGGGTAACTGCGCCAATTGGGCTGAAAGGTTCAACAATATCGATTCAAGAGTCTTCCACCGCACTGGTGGTGACTTCCACACCGGGCTGGTTCTGCGAGGCAGTCCACTCCGTCCCGCCGCTCTCTGCCATCACGATCCTCGACCTGCCAAAGCCGACGCCGTCGTACTGCCCGAACGATGCCTGCAGATCTGGGCTCCACTTCTGGCTGATAGGGGACCTGCACCAGATTTGACGAGGATGATGTAAGTCAATGATACCCACTTGGTCTGGTTTGTTCACCTCAGTAGCAAGGGGTTTCAGTTCGTTGCGGTTAATCTTGTTAAATTGCGTGTGCTCACTCAATTAAGAGCCAATCAAATCCCTAAGTTTTCGCCCATGCAAGTGTGATTGTGAAGATCTCGACGAAGGTGGGATAGTTTCTATCAAGCTTTTGTAGTAAATCCAAATTTCTGCTCAATAAGGAACGGCATCATCAGCACCACCAGCGCAGGCGGATAGACCGCGCCGACGTCTAAGAAGTGCTCTCGACGAGAGGTACGAGAAAAGTGAACTTACGTGAACAACCACCGCTTTGAGGATGGTTGGCGTTGTTTTGCAGCTTTTATGTCAATGGCAGAGCACCAAGCGCTGGCGAAGTCAACAGACACTTTAAAGCTGTTTTGGTGGCTTTGAAAATTGGCTTGAATAGGTTTTCGGTTGAGACTACGTTGAATACTTTTTGAACCTAATCAAAACAACAGGTTAACAGGACTTGTCAAAATTCTTGTTCTCACCGCAATATTTTGGGCTGTCTGTTTTTTCTTGACACGTCCAACGTCCGTGGCGGACGCAGGACGGCACTTCATTCTCTGTTTGCATTCATGGTAGTGTTCGCTTGGCGAAACTACCTGCACTGGGGTGTGCACAGAAAATCACTCAAGATTCTTTTCGAGAATAAAAATGCAGCTTTAGTCCAACTCCTAAACGTTTTTGTGCTGCAGTACATGCTATTCCGTTTAATTACTCCACAAGAAAAAAAAATCCAAGGGGGAGTCAGGAAAACTGATGCCAATCCGTCTCGTACTTTTGCGAAGTTCGTTACTACCTCGTTGCCCAGATTGCGCTCATTAGCTGGGGCTTTTTCTACCCGTCCTCCCAAACTAGGGTTTGTCGCTGATGTGGATCCAGTCTACCCCCCACAAATCGTGGCCCACAGTGGTTTTGAGGGGACAAGTTGTGTCGACGAAGATCGCGAACGCTTGCTACGCCAACTTTTTATGGAAACTGTAAATATCGTCCACCCACAAGGATTACTGTCGCCGACGATCCCACTGCTGCTGCTGTTGCTGCTCGCTAAGGCCGTGCTGTTGCGAAGAAATAATGCACAAGCACCTTTTTGCCAATTTCTTTCACTTCTTTTTTTTTCCCGTCCTATTCTCCGACGTCCTTTATAAGCAGTTCGTGTTTATGCTCAGTGATCATGGGAAGCTGGTGGCGGGGCAGAAGGAGCGTTGTGCTTGCGACGTAAAGAGGCGGCGGGCGGCTTTGCTCGTTTCAATGGCACAGAATCGCGCGTCTTCTCCTTGCCGAACACTGAGCCACGCTGTCCCTCGACTTGGAATTTTCCAGTTGAAGCTTGAGCAAGATGGGCAAAGTCTTCATGCATGGCCTGGGCAAAGTTTTTTTTTGTTTTCTCCAATGAAAATCACTAGCACAAACACTACCTGAAGCCCCTGTCGTCCAATGGCTAGGACATCACCATTCCCATCGGAAAATCTCGGTGAAGATCGGCGTTCAAATCGTCGGAGGGGCGGGTGCAAGCCTTCTTTTTTTCTTGCTGAAGTCCTTCGCGATTAGGGACGATTTTTCATGGTGTTTCGGTTTATGTGAATTAAGGATCAATCGCTATCATTCCCTTGTTGCTGCTGCTTTCCTCAACTGCTCTCGCCTTGATCGTGTCGATGTCTTCTCCGCAGCGAATTCGTCGACGACAACGGAAAAAGATTGAGACCACCGTTTTTACACATGTCACGACATCGGTCAGAAGACGTTCGTCAGCATAAGTGGGAGGGAAGTGAGGCAACGGGTGTCGGAATCCGTCAAGCTAAAAAGGCTCTTGTCGCGGGGTGCCAGGGACTCGCTGACAGGCCGCACCACGTTCCCGCGCTCATTGTGACTCGACGTGAATGTTGTTACCTTTATTGTGAGGAGGTAGCAAGCAGAGGTCTGCACCGTGAGGGGGGAGTTCCATGGTTCGGTTGCCAGTAAACCTCGCGTTCAATAGTATATTGCGGGGCGCTTCCTTTTTTTTTTTTTTTTTTCGTTGATTGGTTTGAACTCGCAACAAACACCAACGTGGATTAGTATTAGTATTTAATCTGCTCGCGCATACAAAAGCGCCGCTCTCTGTGCAGCTACGATGAAGATGACGATGAAGACGCTGATGGTGACGCTGTCGCCACAATCGGCGGAGAATCGGACATGTTTGCTCAGTTGGACTTCTCTCAACTCGTGATGAGCGTCCATTCGGCTCAGCTCACGACGGCGGTTGCGGGTTTGTCGGCCCCGTCGTTGAAACACCAACCCGACGAGTTCAACTTCACCAGAAGGAGCCGTCGCCGAGCGTTGCGGTGCGATCCAACAGGCCGCTGAACAGCCCACCCCCTTTTCTCCGGACTGAGGGGCCGTCGCACTGCACAAACGACGCAAAAGGCTCCCAGCGCCGGCTTTAAAGGCCGAGGCGGTGATAATAGTCTTTCAAGCCGCACAATACGGTGGCGAGAGCATTTTTTTTTTTGACAGTAATTTTGGATCGATGTTTCATTATGTGCTTCTCCTCGTTCAACTGACTCCCACCGAACTTCTCTATTCGAGCAAATCGCACCGGCTCTTCCAAACGCGGGCTTGTCTGCGCCACCACCGTTGGATCCAGTGACTTCTCAACGATAATGCCTTACTGTTAACAAAGTCCTCAAATGCTCGCTGATGCTCAGGCTGGCCTTCCAGCCACTGCTCAAACAGTCCGCTTTCTGCCCACCACTCAAGGGATTCCACGTCGTCCAAACTTGTATCCTGAAAGTAGTTCGGATTCCAGTCGACGACCAATCCACTTTCTAACCACCACTGCAAGCTTCTTGTTGCAGAGGCACAGACGGCGCTTCTGATAGACACTCCAGTGTAGCGGAGTTCGAAGCCGCTGTTCTTCCACCACTCGAGAACTTCAACTTCCTCAAGCTTGCTGGCGTCATCCATTGCCTCTGCACCGTACTTGAAATCAAGTTCACTGTCTTTCCACCACTGCAGCGCCCGAACTGAGCCAGCGACTGATGCGCTCCACACTGCACGTTCATCGTACTTCAGGGGTAGGCCACTGTCCCTCCACCACTGCAGCACGTCGATGAGACCCTTTCCACTTGCGTCCGTCAATGCGTGAATGCTGTACTTCAATTTGAGCCCACTTTCTTTCCACCACTGCAGCACGTCGATGAGACCCTTTCCACTTGCGTCCGTCATTGCGTGAATGCTGTACTTCAATTTGAGCCCACTTTCTTTCCACCACTGCAGCACGATTGGATGCCCATCGCGGCTGGCATCGTCCATTGCAAAGTTGTTGTACTTGACGCGTAGCCCACTGTCTTTCCACCACTGCAGCAGGTCGATTCGCCCTCCCGCGCTGGCATACTGCATCGCCATCTCGGAGTATCTCATTTCCAGCCCACTGTCCCTCCACCGCTGGAGGATCTCGACGCTCATAACGCGGTCAAAGAAGCCGCCATTGTGCCAGCGCACCAACCGGTCCCTCGGAAGATTCTGCAACAAGAAATCCAGGAGGCTGACGGAGCCGATGCCGCTCAAATCCCGGCGACGCCAAAGTTTTTGAAAGTCCAGCGCCTGGAGTTGAGGCAGGCGAAAGAGCGTGGCGATTTTGAAGCGAGCGCGCGAGCCGTGGGTGTACGAGTGAATCGTTGTCGTGACAATGGAGGGAAGCCATCGTGGTCGACGTGATTGTGCCAGCGGTAAAGGGGGGTTGGCGATCGCTTTGGGGTAGTCTTTGGCGTCCGACATGTCGCTTTCTGCCAGCTCGTTGGGGGGGAGACTGTGCCGAGATCGTCGAGTTCTTCGTTTCATTTTGAGGGCGCAGTCATGCAATGCAACCACGTCCGGGGAACTGGAAAATTAGAGAAAGACAACGGTAGCGGAAAGGAAGAAAGAAAAGAAAGAAAAGAAAGAAAAGAAAGAAAAGAAAGAAGAAATCGAAGACAAGAACAGAGAGACACCGCTTGGCTGAGCGTGCTTCCCCAAGATTTTTCCCTCTTTTCGCAGTAAATAGATCGATATCCTGTGATGTCATTATTCATTGGTCGGACAAGTCAAACGTGCAAAGTGGGTGGGTGGGTTCAAAGTGACACACACACTCATGCATGTGACCGGGTGGGTTCAACACCCTGTCCGAACATGGAAGCAAGCAAGCACACAGTGTCTGGGCCGCCCTGTCCTGTCTGCCTGCCTGCCTCCCTGCCTTCCCTCTTCAAAAATCAAGCATCACACATTCCACCATGGCGTCGTTCGCCCAGCAGCCGCCGCCGCCGCCGCCTTCGCCGCCGTCGTCGGAGTCGGAGTCGGAGTCGGAGTCGGAGTCGTCACGGGGCTGGTGGTGGTGGTCGTGGGGTGGCCCCTTGACCGCCCCCAACACCATCACCGCCACCAGCGACCACAGCCGTAGTACTAGTAGTGGCGAGACCGTCTCCGGCAAATTACCCTCCACCACCAGCACCACTCGCGCGGGACCACTGCACGCCAACGACTACGGCGACGACGACGACGACGACGACTCCACTTACGACCCGTCGCCATCCTCGTCGTCGCGGGACGTGGCCATCAATGTAGATCCTTCCGACCCCAGCGACGGCGACGACGGCGACAGCGCCGACGACAGCGTAAGCCAGTTGACGGCCCGGGCCTTTGTATCCACGCGCCTGCACGGCAGCCTCGCAGCCGTTCTCATCTCGACCGTCTTTGGCCTCGGCTTTGCGCGCGTCGCCATCCTCCCCGTCGTCGCCCTCGCCGCCGCCATCGTCTACACCCGTCTCGCGCTTCTGCGACTCGACGACGACAACAACAAGAGCAACTCCACCACCGGCAACGACCCCCTAGCCTTCACCACCCCTCTCCTCACGCAGGCTGCCGCGCGCAGGCTGGCGGCCCTGCACGCGGCTCTGTCCGCCGGCATCGGCCTGTCGCTGTACGAGGCGCCAGCAGAGTCTCAGCCGCCGCTGTCCGCTGGCGCAGACTATGTAGTCGCGCTGGCGCTCCTCGGCGCCCTGTACGCGCTGGTCGTCGTCGCCGTCCTCGTCCTCGCGTCCTCCACCACCACCGCCGCTACCACCACCGCTTTTCACGACCGCGGCGCGGCCGTCGCCGCGCTGGCGCTGCCCACGCTCTGGGCGGCCGCGTGGCGCGTGTTTGGCTCGGACGCGTCGCCGACGGGCGGCTGGGGCAACTGGGGCGCCGTGGTGGCCCTCGGACGCGGCGCCGTCGACGGGTGGGGCGCGGCTGGCGCGCTCGCGGGGCCGGCCGCCGCCGACGTCGTGCTGGCGCTACTGGCGCAGGCGGCGGCCGACGCCGTGCTATTTCTAGGCACACCGGCGGGCGGGCGGCAGCGGCGTGGGCGCCGCGACGCGCTTGCAGCGGTGCGGGCGGGGCTGCGTGCGCAGGGGCTGACGCCGGCGGCGCGGTGGTTCACGCTACGCGCCGCAGCTGCCGCGGTGGTGGCGGTCACCGCGTACGGTGTGTGGTCGCAGACGACCGCGGCGACCGCCGGTCCGACGGTGTCCGTCGCGTGCGTGGCGCCGACGGACGCCGCGGCGTCGGCGGACCCTGGGGCGCGGGTGGCTGCGCTGCTCAAGGGGTCTGCGACGGCTGCGGCGCGCGGTGGAAAGGTGGTGCTGTGGTCCGAGGCGGCCGTCGAGCTCCCGACGGCGGCCGCGGTCGCGGCGCTGTACGACGGCGCGCGGCAGCTGTCCGCGCGGCAAAAGGTCGTCCTCGGAATCACGTACGCCGCGCCGGCTCACAGCGAACGCCCAGGTCTGCTTCACAACGTGGTGGCCCTGGTCGCGCCAACCGCCGCCGGTACCAACGCGACCGTCGTGTGGGAGTACCGCAAGACGCACCTCGTGTTTATCGCAGAGTCGCACCGCTTCGCCCCGGGGAACGGCACGGTGCCGGCCGCGGTCGTGCACGTGCCCGTCGCCGTCGACTCGGACGAGGCCGCCGACGCGGCCGCCGCCTCTGCCTCCGAAACTTCCATTAACAGCAACAACAACAAAAAGCGCCCGCACACGCCTCCCTCCGCGGCCGTTGCGGTCGCGGGTGTGATCTGCCACGACCTGGACTACGTGCACTTTATGCGGACGCGCGCCGGTGGGGCGCTTGCTGCGGCTGCAGCTGCAGCGGTAGCGGGGGAGTCGGGCCCGGCGTCGTCGGGGCGGCTGCTTCTAGCGCCGGCAAAGACGTGGTCGCAGCGGGCGGGGGCGAGCCACGTCGCGACGACGCGGCAGCGGGCGGCGGAGCTCGGGGCGGCGGTGCTGCGGTGCGACGCGGGCGGCGGGGTGTCGGCGGCGGTCGAGGCGCGCGCGGGGCGCGTGCGGTACGAGTACAATGACCACGGGCACGCGGGCGCGGTGTCGACGGCGGCAGCAGCGCCGGCCGCGCTGGCACACGTGCAGTTTGTGGTGGACCTGGCGGTCGGCGGGGTCGGGCGGACGCGGACGGCGTACGGGTGGCTCGGGGATTGGGGTGTCGTGGCGGTTGCCG